ACGTTTCTTTCGAATTCTGTACAACAACAACAACAAAAAAAACAACTCAATATTTCAAGAGCCGCTATGCACTGTGTGATAAATTCACGGAAAGGTCTTTAATAAGAGGCCCCCGCACGCGGCTTCGGAGCCGAAGGTTTTCCGACCCCTGACCATGGCTAACGGAGAAAAATAAACTGAACTAAACAGTTTTTTATTTATTTTACCAGGTAAGGCTCACTGAGCTATGTAGCTCTTTGTCAGAAGCGACCAGGCCATCACAAATGACAGCTCAACGAAGTGGCTTATCACGTGGCAATGTGTAGCAGCCAAATACTCAGAACGCGTCGTGTTGATTCTAAATGTGGAGGGAAAAACCGGAGGACCCGAAGACAAATCCACGTGACCACGGGGAGAGAGAGACACGCAAACTCCAAATATACAGCAGGCGTCAGCGTCGGGATCGAACCGACGAGCTCCTGTATACCAGGCGAGGTAGTTGACATTTCGCCGCCACGGATTTAGATCATGGCAGGAGTGAGATGGGTCCGGGTTTAGGTCTGCGGTGGAAGAGATAGCAACCTACGGATTTAAGGGATATCTGATGAGAGCGGTTGGCTATGTAGGGTGTGGACAAAGTTCAACATACGTAAGGCGCTTTTGAGATGTTGGGGGTATTTAAAAGCTCCCGTTAAACGCAAATCCACATTCCCCAAATCCGTATTCCTTTGTCACGCACACGAGCCAGACGTCTAGCGGTACCCACGCAGAATCTACCGCAACCGTGTGAAATGCTTGCAGATGAATTAGTATGCCTCGACAGATTCCGTCCTCTCTTTGTTTTATGCATTTTTTGGGGGGAGTAAATTGATTAATGCTGTGTTTGCCAAAGCGTAAACAATTGCTTTAGCTGCCTTCTGTTCATATATATGTTAATCAGTCATAATCATAAAGCCTACTCCACTTGTGGTGAGCGCACGTGGAAATGCTGTGCAACTTTTGCGCTGTTTGTTTTGTAATAATTGCTTTGTTTCAACATTGATTATCGCCGTATACACGATTAACACCGTACTAAAATCATACAGACGGTGCCTTACAGGCGCGCCGCGAGTGGCTACGCATGTGGCCTGCAAACCAGCACAGCGAGAGTCTGTGTGGACCGCGGCACACATTCGGGGAAACTTCACCCCCTACCCACGGACAGCGTGTGGTTGCCGTGCCCTGTTGGCCAGGGTACGGCAGTTGAGCAAGCGGGTTAGTCCCCATCTGTGTCGGGATTGAGCGTCACGCCCTCCCGGGTCCCTGCACACGCGTGGGCTTTTGTGGCGCGATGTTAACTACCTCGCCTGGTGTACAGGAGGTCGTGGGTTTCGATCCCGACCCTGACGCCTGCTGCTGCTGCTGCTGTATATTTGAGGTTTGTGTGTCTCTCTCTCTCTCTCTCCCCGCTCGTATGGCGTGTGGATTTAGGGTACACTTTTCGCAAGGCGCGGCACGTGCCCACCATAACGGTGACCGCGCCCGTAATAATGGGGGGATGCGCACCGTTATAACGAGGATCGAGCGCCGTTATAACGCACAGCACGCCCGTTGCTATAACGCCGTGTCTGAGCAGTCGACGAGCGGTTTGGGGACCCTGGACTATGCACGCTGGATGATACATAGCAACACAATGTTGTCACACGGTTGTTGCTCACGTTAAATTATAATCACGAGGGTTATCGTGACCCCCGTGTTATGCACAGATGGGCTGACAGACAGCAAATGCGTAAAAGCTTTCGACCCTTAGTCGCTAAGCTTTAAATATATAAAGCGGTAGATTTACCGCAGGTAAGCCTCCACGTTAAACTTCTTTCGCTGATCGTTCGTAGCCAACTGCTCTAATCGGATGTGCGGGGTCAGGACAACAAGGACTAAATATAATTCATCATCATCATTATCAGCAGCAGCAGCAGCAGCTATGATCAAATCCACTGCTGGATGAGGGCCTCCCCACGATGCAACAATCCACCCAGAACCTACGCACGAGCCACTGATTGCTCCATCTCTGCAGCGGACGGAAAAAAAACCCCGCTCTGGGGAGCTTTCCCTCCCTCTCTTTGTTGCCACTCGGCAGTCACGAATGTAATTGCGCCCTTGTTATTAACCATCGCCATTATTTTTATTATTTTGCTGTCATTTCCAGAAAGTTGTGAATTAAATCGTTGATTTAGAAGATGTGCCACCTCGGCGATTCTGCTGTGAGTCGCAGCCTCAGAAGATGTGTACAGTTTTTGTTTGACATTTGTATTAATTTCAGCTCTATTGCACGGGCGACGTGCGATTGTACAGTTGTTATTATTTAGATTGAAAAACTCTGAAAACGCATTTCTTTAGACACTGCTGGGCGTTTGGCTTAGTTTGTTGTCCTACCCCCGCACTGCCATGCTAGCGCGGCTGGCTACGTACGGTGCGAAAGAAGTTCAGCGAACCTACGCACAATCACGGTTACAGAGTTCGCGATAACCAACAGCGAGTACGGTGCTGTACACGCCACGGGAATAGGGAACCGGTTGAAAACAACAAAAAACAACAACAACAAAAAACGCAAAAGCGTGACTACTTTTTGTTTGTTTACAAATAAAAAAAACAAGGAAGGGTCGAAAATTACAAATAATGGCACGCGATGGAGGCGAAACACCCCGGCTCCCACCTTGCTGCTGCTGCTGCACACGAGGGGATTCAGAGGGGAGCAGCGGTAGATCGTGGTGATCCAGCACTCGCCCAGTGGCTCCAGTCGCTCCAGTTAACTCCAGTAACTCCTCGCTCGCTCGTTCGCTTCCTTATCGCTCTTCTCACGCAACTGCCGTGGATGCAGTTCCCGTTACGCTCACGCGTTCTTTCCACCTCCCGGTGTTGAGGACTCCGTTCTACAAGCGCACACTGGCTGACCCACTCGCACGTCTACTCACCTACTCAACCACCCACTCACCATGCTGCAGGTCACAACCACGCGCTCACTCACCCACCCACTCATTCACCTATACCCTCACACACCCACTCACTTCATCTATCATCTTCTCAACACAACCACCCACTCACTACGCTGCAGGTCACTACCAAACACTCTACCACCCGCTCCTTTACTCATCCACTCACTCACCCACTCACTCATCTATTCACTCACTCACCAACTCACTCACCCACTCACCCATCTACCCACTCAGTCACTCACCCATCTATTCACTCACTCACCCAATCACTCACCACACAACAGTTCACAGCCGCTTCTCTTTTCTGCTTCTTCCCTCCCGACGTCTCCATTTGCCCAATTCAACAAACGCCTTCACGCGTATTGCATCTTCAACAGTGCCGACTGTTGCTGGCCCGCTCGGCGTTGAGGACCTCCGGGCCTGTGCTCGGCAATTTGTCATCATGGTAAATAAATCGATAGAAGGTCGACACCCTTTTGTTCGTCCGCTGATGCCAACACTCGCTCGTGACACCTCCGATCTGTGGGCGATCAAAGAAACATTTCTTTGGCAAGACTCCACAAACAATTCCTGGCACATCGATTGCAATCCCGGCGGGGGGGGGGGGGGGGTGGTGGGGGGGGTGTGGGGGGGGGGGGGGAGGGTTGGTGTGGATGGTGGGAGGGGTACACTGCCACGGACACCTTCACCGCCCATGGGCAAGCGGCCGCCACATCTTGCCGCTCAGCAACGCGCTCAACCGCCAGGGCGCTGCCGCCGTGTTTAGCCGCGTGCCATCTCCGATGCCCTCCCCCCCCCGCTCGCTCCGCCGCCCCCCCCCCCCGAGTTTAATAACGCCCACGTGGAACACAAGATCGATATCGCTAAGGGGAGGGGGTGGGTGGTATTTATTAAAAAAAAAATTAACCAGCCGGTTGCAAACTCTGCTTCTGCTCATCGGCGTAGACATCGAGCGGCGTGCTGCGGTCCCCACGGCAGATGACGGTGATAGGACATGGGACGGGCGCTGCGGTGGTTAGGAGATGTTAACCACCTCGCCTGGCATACAGGAGGTCGTGGGTTCGATCCAGACCCTGACAATGCCTGCTGTATATTTTGGAGTTTGCGTGTCTCTCTCTCTTCATCATCATCATCATCACGGTGGCTATGAGATGTTAACTACTTTACCTGGCATACAGGAGGTCGTGGGTTCGATCCCGACCCTGACGCCTGCTGTACATTTGAAGTTTGCGTGTTTCTCTCCCTGTGGCGGCGTGTTTTTTTTTCAAGTTAAGAATCAACATCAGGCTTTCAGAGTATTTGGCTGCTATAAATGTCCACGTGATAAGCCAACTTTGTTGAGCTATATGTGGCCAGGTGGCTTATGAAAAATAACTATACAGCTCAGTGGGGCTTTACCTGGTAAAATAAAATAAAACAGAGTTTAAATATGTTTTATATTAACTCTCACGAGTGAGGGTTATGGTTCACCATCAGGAATCGATAGATTTTTAGTTTTTCTGCTCGTTTCACCTCCTTACGGATAATCTCCTCTGCACCGTTAACTACTCGCCCCCCCCGCCACTGAATCGATAACGCCCCTGACCCTGTGCCCTGACCCTGTGCCCTGACCCTGTGCCCTGACCCTGTGCCCTGTGCCCTGACCCTGTGCCCTGACCCTGCGCCCTGACCCTGTGCCCTGACCCTGTGCCCTGACCCTACACCCTGACACTGCGCCCTGTGCCCTGACCCTGCGCCCTGACCCTGCGCCCTGACCCTGTGCCCTGACCCTGTGCCCTGACCCTGTGCCCTGTGCCCTGACCCTGCGCCCTGACCCTGCGCCCTGACCCTGCGCCCTGTGCCCTGCGCCCTGACCCTGCGCCCTGACCCTGCGCCCTGACCCTGCGCCCTGACCCTGCGCCCTGTGCCCTGCGCCCTGACCCTGTGCCCTGACCCTGCGCCCTGACCCTGCGCCCTGACCCTGCGCCCTGCGCCCTGCGCCCTGCGCCCTGACCCTGCGCCCTGACCCTGCGCCCTGACCCTGCGCCCCGCTCGGGGGCCGCCCCGCAGGTCCACGCCATGCAGTGGGCGGGCGGCTCGCAGGAGATCCCCGTGTCGGTCTGCTCCCTGCCATGCTTCCCCGGCGAGCGCAAGAAGGGCGTCAAGGGCGTGCCCTGCTGCTGGCACTGCGAGCAGTGTGAGGGCTACCAGTTCCAGCTGGACGAGTTCAACTGCCAGCTGTGCCCGTACGACCGGCGCCCCAACCAGAACCGCACGGGCTGCCGCGACATCCCCATCGTCAAGCTCGAGTGGCACTCCCCGTGGGCCATCATCCCCGTGTTCTTCGCCATCCTCGGCATCGTCGCCACGACCTTCATCTTCGGCACGTTCGTGCGCTTCAACGACACGCCCATCGTGCGCGCGTCGGGGCGCGAGCTCAGCTACGTGCTGCTCACGGGAATCTTCCTGTGCTACGCCATCACCTTCCTGATGATCGCCACGCCCGGCGTGGTGCTCTGCTCCTTCCGCCGCCTCTTCCTCGGCCTGGGCATGTGCATCAGCTACGCGGCGCTGCTCACCAAGACCAACCGCATCTACCGCATCTTCGAGCAGGGCAAGAAGGCGGTGACGCCGCCCAAGTTCATAAGCCCCACGTCGCAGCTCGTCCTCACGTGCAGCCTCATCTCGGTGCAGCTACTCGGCGTGTTCGTGTGGTTCGGCGTCGACCCGCCCCACATCATTGTGGACTACCATGAGCAGCGCTCGCCCGACCCCGATGACGCGCGCGGAGTCCTCAAGTGCGACATCTCCGACCTCTCCATGATCTGCTCGCTGGGCTACAGCATTCTGCTCATGGTGACCTGCACCGTGTACGCCATCAAGACGCGCGGCGTGCCCGAGAACTTCAACGAGGCCAAGCCCATCGGCTTCACCATGTACACCACCTGCATCGTGTGGCTCGCCTTCATCCCCATCTTCTTCGGCACCGCGCAGTCCGCCGAGAAGGTGCCCCCGCCCCCCCCCCCACATCCCCGCCCCACCCTCTCCCTCCCTCCCTCCCCCCCCCCGCGTGCGTGTGCGCGTGTATGTGTCTGTGTGAGTGTGTGCTCGCTAACAGCACTTACCCCAACATTCTGTGTAGTGGTTAGCGCTACGCTGCGCTACAAACCCGGTGACCCGAGTTCGATTCCCGCTCACGGCCAACACCAGTGAGGAATATCTGAACCGGTCCTGGGCGTCCCCTAGGTCGACTGAGCCTCAAATTAGTTGCTGGTGCCGTGTGTAGCCATAGCCACTGGGGAAAAAAAGGTGGCCGGGCGTGGTGCTGACCACCCACCCCTCGTGTGCCGTGCCGGCCTTCACGGGTGCTCGCTAACAGCACTTGCCCCTACAGTCTGTTAAGGCTACACGGGGGATCTTTGCATTGCGCGTGTTTGCATGTTTGTTTTCATCTGCCAGTCATCTCAGTCAACCCATAACAGCTGGGGCTGTCCCTTGACCTGCCAACAGCAAGCCTTCTACACTTCACGCGGCCTCAATGTGCACCTAGCTTGGCACAAGCAGCCATGGTAACATCACCGCCACTTAGTGAATGGCGGCTATTATTATTGCACGTGGGTCTGGCCCTCTCCTAGGTCGACTCAGACTAAAACGAATACCTAGTGCAGCGTATAAACATCTGCACTGGGGAGACAAAAGTGGTCAGGCGTGGTCTTAGCCACACCACCTTCTCGTGTACCATGCTGGCCTTAATAAGTCCTCGCTAACAGCACTTGCCCAACATATACAGGGTGGCCCAAACGTCATGACAATTTGGGTTATTTCATTTATTTTAACACTGGCATTAAAACATATCCATTGTTTAACCATTAACTTAACATTTTATCTGTCATCATTATCAATATTTGTTATTTTTCTCCTCCCTGGGGGGTCACTTCAAATTTGTCGGATACAAAACTCAAAGTTAACACCTGTAATATTTTAAAATATATATTTAATTAATTTCAAAAGAATCCATGCAGCATGCATGAATGTCAATGAAAGCCAATTTGAACATTTGTTCAAATGAATGAGATAATCCTTTGTGAATTGTTAAAATAAATATAATAATCCATTATTTTCGAACTTATGAGCCACGTAGCATGAGATCTTTGACTTTGTGTCTGTAAGTCAATGGGTCTCTGTGCAAATATGTTTCTCCATTTGAGCCTCGAAGTATCTACATTAATCTGTCGGCCTCTATGCGTATGAGTCTATACATTGCTAAGTGAGTCTCTGGATCTCTACGCGAGAGTGAGCCAACGATGTAGCCACTGCGTTTCGCTGGTCATTACAACCAGATTCATCCGGCGATGTGCAAGAATTGTGTACGTGCCAAACCTTACTAATCGGCTGTGTCAGGTGGTGGTGGGTTAACGACACGTTTATGTATCCACGCGATCTAACCACAAACAAATCTCTATTATTAATGATAATGGTCGCGCGAAAGCCGACGTGGTGGACTGATGAAGCCACTGCCATCACATTCCAGTTACTCAAAAAATCCACCTGCACGCACTGGGTTGCCTCCAAAACCTGGATCTGTGAGCCACCTGGACTATTAGGATAAACGTGTTCCAATTCCCATTCCCTACGAAATCACCTGGCCCCTGCAGCCACAAGAGGCCGCTACAGTCGCAGAATTTCTTTAAAGGAAACAAAGCAACACGTATGCCTAGTCTGTGATCAAAAACGTGTCTCTGAAATCGTGACAATTCATGGAATCACCGGGTGGTTGGTGGGGTTGATCGTCGCACTTTCACACCTCTACAGTTCGCGTAAGGCCGCGGAAGCGAGCGGTTGTTTTTCGTTTTTGCCGATATATACATTCATATTTTATCAGGTAAGGCCCCACTGAGCTATATAGCTCTATTTCGGAAGGGACCTGGCCACAAACGACAGCTCAAAAAAAGTGGCGTATCATCACGTGGATTTTTTTTTTTTACAGCCATATACTCTGAACGCGTGATGTTGATTCTAAATGTGGAGGGGAAAAACCGGAGGACCCTAAGAAAAATCCAGGACAACTCCACATGTACAGCAGGTGTCAGGGTCGGGATCGAACCCACGACCTCACGTATACCAGTCGAGGTAGTTAACATCTCACCACCGTGGTGCCCCACACACACACCAGGACAACACACGGGAAGGTAACAAAAAAAAAACACCCCACCGCCTCTCCCTGTAGCCTCTAGCAGGCTGTTTGGCAAGTGCCGTTAGCCTCCGATGACGCCGTGTGGTCAGCGCCACGCCCGGCACACCTTTGCCTCCCCAGTGCGCTTTGATGTGTGTTGACGTGACCAAGGACAGGGCACCCGCAGGACCGCTTCAGAGTTTCACCACAAACTCTTTAGCCCTCGCTGGGAAGCGGAAGTCGAGCTGCCGGGTTCGTAGCGCCGTGCGGCCGGTCACTTACGCCACCGCTGCCCAAATACGCGCAGGCAAAAACAACAAACGATGAACCGCACAGACAACACAGCCGAGGAAGCCAGCGTCTATGAAAGCCGGCGTGGTGTATAAGGGGTGGCGTGGACAGAACCACGCCCGGCCGCCTTTGTATCACGACATCTGGGACAAAGAGCTTCGTTGCTCATCGGATTCCTCCAGTCTAAATAATTAATCCGGTTCTAATATGCACCGCACCTTGGTTACTCACTTCATGTTGAGTCGACCAAGAGGAGGGCTCAGGACCAGTTCAGATTTTCGCCACCGACTGTTAGTTTTCGTGACCAGGGAATCAAAATGCGAACCGACCACTGCCCCACCGCTCCTTCCGAACTGATTTAATTTTGTGCGCAACGCACACATTCGCGCGCGCTGTTCACGCGCTCACGAGACATCAACACCACTCCCTCACTCCCACCCCCCGCCTCCCCCGTCTCTGGGTCTCGCCGCCCCCCCACCCACCCGCCTGCCCCCCCACCCACCCGCCTGCCTGCCCTCCCCAGGCAAGCGAAGCCGGTGACGAGAGTTCATTAAACACCTCCGGCGCCGCTCGCAGACACTGCCGCCCGCGAGCGTAATTTGCTTGTCAGACTTCCCTCCGTGGGTGTGCCGCGCACATCAGGCGCTGAGAGGGAGAGACACGCCACGCTGGGTGGACGCGGCCAGGCAGGGCCGGCCTGCCTGGCCTTGCCTGGCCACGTCCACCTAGCTTGGCGTGTCTCTCCGGCCTGCCTGGCCTTGCCTGGCCACGTCCACCTAGCGTGTGGCGTGTCTCTCCGGCCTGCCTGGCCAGGGATTCAATGAACGTCAGCTCCCAGAAACTCACTGAATAGCTGACAACAAGAATAACAAAAATAAATTTGATGAATTGGAACAGCATTGAATTACAGGGAACCGGGGGCCAGCGCTTGCATTGTTAGATGGAATCTGACTGATTGTTCGGTAGTAGGGTAGTTCACATTTCTAAGTAGTAGTAATAATAAACCAACCGTAGATGACAATCAAATTGAATAATATGACCGCGGCGCGTTCATAATTGAAAACTGTTCGCTGGCACTTTTGTTCGTGGTCTTTGTTGTTGTTGTGGTTGTTGTTGTTGTTGTTTTAGTTCACAGCGCGGTTGGGGTTTTTGGTTTTTTTTAAATCGCGACTTCAGAGTGTGCACGGTCTTAGCTCTTGTCTTGATAAATTGGCCGCAGACATAGCAAAATGCGTCTGCCGGATGCTTGCAGCCTCTTGATGCCATCTCATAAAAATGCAGATATGTATCCACTTTGGCAGCTGGAACTAAACTGAACTGGTGGGCTTAATATTCTTTGGTTCTTTAGGTAAAGTCACGTATTTATACTACTATTTATATTACTGGAAAGTTATATAATTTCTAGAAGTTACTCCAAGTTTACTCAGCACTGAATCTATCTGGAATGTTCTAGAAAATTGGTAAATTTCTAAATTTCACTGTCCTGGTCACCCTGCACACTGATTTCATAGTTTCATCTCCTCGACGGGTAGACAAATTCCGTTCCTTGGATGGTGATGCACGTTTGCTGGAAATACCGATGTTATGCTGATATTATTACTTGTGCCACGGGAACGAGATATTAACTACCTCTCCTGGTATGGAGGATGTTGTGGGTTCGAGCCCGACCCTGACGCCTGCTGTATATTTGGAGTTTGCGTGTCTCTCTCTCTCTCCGTGGTCGCTCGGATTTTTATCCGGTTCCTCTGGGTTTTCCCTCCACATTTAGAATCACGGGTTTAGGGTATTTGACTGTTAAAATTTTCCACGCGATGATAAGCCACTTTCCTTGAGCGCTCATTTGTGATAGCGAGGTTGCTTATGAAAAATTAACTAAACAGCTCAGCGGGTCTTACCTGGTAAAATAAAATTTTAAAAAAATAGTTATTTATGCTTGGTGTACTTTCATATTTCTCATAGAGCTACTGATTGTACGATTGAATCATACTGTATATATACTTTTTTTTTCAACCAGTTTCATCGAATGGGAAATAAATAGTGGAAGCTGCATTCCTTGTAAAGGACCCGTCGGACTTCATTTCTGAACGGAAATCGCATTTCGGTTTCTCCAGCAAAAATTCGAAATCAACGCGAGGCTCTCCCCTCGCCCCATGGCTGACCAGCGCCGCTGCATATACAACGACAGCACCCCGCCATATGTTTATCAGCTCTGGAGGGTAACTTCATCACGGAGGCCCCCATTGAACTGCGTGGCATTGTTCGCAACCGCGGCTGAATTTACGAATCCTTTGGATTCATGAACGGCAAATTAAGGTGGTTTATGTGATTGAGTTAAATTGCCGTGCTTTTGTATTCCGTAATTAGCGACATTACTCATCCCTGTGGGGTTACAAAGCATTTTTTGTTTATTCTTTTTTCAGATCAGGGTTTGTGTGTGCCTGTGGGTTCGATGAGAAATGTGCGGACCGTTTTACGTAATGAACCGCAATTTGGATGTTTATACTGTGTGTCAGGATGCGCGTCGAATTAGCGCGCTCGTTCA